GGTTGGATGGGGCTTGGAGCAGCCTGGGCTGGTGGGAGGTGTCCCTGCCCATGCAGGGGGTTGGAACTAGATGATCTTTCAGTTCCCTTCCAACCCAAACCACTCTGCAATTCTATGACTCACAAATTTTGTCTCAACCCTGTGTCTGTAGCTGTGATCTCTTCCAGTGTCACAGCCAGTTTAGTCTTTCCTCTTCCAGTCTCTGTGTACATCAGTTCCCATACATGGAGCACTCTCATGGTTTGCCTTCCCCAGAAGTTCTGGGGACACCTGCAAATCACAGAGCCCTGCAGCCAGACTAAATAAATTCCCAGGAGGAGCAGGGATGATCTTTGCTGCCTCCCAAGCATCGTGTGTCCATGACTGCTGGGATGTTGCAGCTGGGTTGCTTCCTCAGCCAGCTAAGAGAGATGGGAGAGATTTGGCTTTGAACTCAGAGTATTTCTGAATGTTGAGTTATTTCTCTGTTGAAACAGCTTTTTTGAGCTCTAATGTCCAGGAGTGATAATAGCAACAAGCACAGTTCTCATCCCCACTACCTGGGGTAACAGGACAGTATGAAAGACCCCCCAAAAAACCTGAATTACATGTGTTACATGGGGCTGAATGAACTGACTGCCAGCCCTGGCTCTTGCTGTGATTTAGGTCAAGCTCTTTTAATCCTTTTAAATTATTCCCTCTTATCTGGAAAACCTTCTCTTCAGGGCTGAATAATATTTGCAAAGTTCTTAGGAAGCAGCACACATCTCCCAAGGTTTATGTGGCCACTTTCTATCTTCATTTAGAACTGTGAAATGTATCTATTGTAATTATATATAAGGTGGATTTGATGGTGAGGAACTGGGATGGGTTGCCCTGGGAGGCTGGTGATGCCCCATCCCTGGAGGTTTTTAAGGCCAGGTTGGCTGAGGTTTTGTGCAACCTGGTCTAGTGGTTCCCTGCTCATGGCAGGGAGTTGGAACTGGATGATCTTTGAGGTCCCTTCCAAGCTTAATAGTTGATTCTATGATTTTTCTTCTTCTTTTTTTCTTTTTTCCCCCTGGCACTGCAGAAGTGGTGCTGGTAGGTGTGAGGTTTAAAAAGAAGAAAAAGCAGCAGTAATGACTGTGAAACAAGAGCAGAGAATTGAAACCAACTTCTAGGAGAGCAGAGAAAGGGGGGGTTGTAGATGTAGAACTCAAATGCTGTGAGCTGGGATGGAGGAGCATGGCAGGGAGGGGCTGTGCTGGGCAAGAAATAAGGAAGTAGCCCCTCATTTTACAGTTATCTGCAGTGCTGGGAATTCCTCACCATTGCAAGTGCCTTGGAAAAAAAGAAATCTGCCAAATCTGTGACCCACATTAAAGTCTTCCAAGATTTGATTTTCAGAACAGGGTCGAACAAATTAATTTTAGGCCAGTTTGTAGCTTCCACAACAGGAAAAGTAGCTGTAGATTGAAACTGTGAGTTACAACAGAAAGCAAAATTCTACTTACTCACAGTCTGAGGAGTCTGTGGAAGATGTTATTTGAAATTCATTGTCAGTGATCTGGCAAGAAACAGGGATATTCTGCGTTGTATTTTTGGATCATTTGCCTTTCTTTTGTTTTCTATTATGAGAATTAAACCTGGTGAGAACCCAAACTCAGCCTGTCCAGCACCTCACCTTGCTGAGCACTGAAAATACTTTATGGCAATATTAACACACAGGCTTTGGAGCAAGGTGTTGGAGGTTGTTAACCTTACAAATCTGGTTTAGATTCTTAATGTGAGAAGGTATTTTTGTGGATTTGCAGCTTCATTCGTCGCCCTGAAAAACGTGTCCTACGATATCAATATATTCCCTTAAAGTTCACTTGGGGTCCAAGAGTCAGAGAATGGCTTGAGAATTTTCTCCTCCAGTTCCTGTAATTTCTTTCTCTTGATGGATGGAAATGATTTTGAACTGGAATTATTCTTGGTCAAAATGTAGATGGTCAGAAGGTCTGGTTGTTCCCGACATTATAGACGGGTAATTCTGTGAAAGAGAAGAAAAATTGCTGCCTCTTTGAACCAAACCATCCAGATAGCTCCCTGAAATAATTTGATTGATTTTTACATTAAAAGGGGGGGGGAAGAAAAGAAAAGAAAAAAAGCCAAAAGCTATTTCAGCATTGACAGTGTTGAAGCCTGAATTTTCTCCCCTGGTCGCCTCATGGGGACGATGAGAACATAACGTGGAGCAGGAAGGAGCCTTGCACCTCTTCCCAAGCTCTGAGTTCCTTTTTCCTGCCTCCTGTGGTTCGTGGAGGGGTTTGTGGTTCAACCCTCCCACTCCTTTCTATCCTGAAGATCTTTCTGAAGCTCCTGCAGCAGGAGCTGGTGCTGTGATGTGAACACAACTCCAGAATGTATCAGTTCCCCCTGCACGGGCTGATAACAGCTGCTTTTTGATGACTATCAGCACATGTTTGAACCAAATTAGCTTCTGGATAAGAGGTTTTCTAGCATCCTGTGCCATCGTGTCCTCACGGGTGAATTGCCCATTCCTGTAAAGATTATGCTTTTAAAAACAGATATAAAAAGAAAAATGGAAGCTGCTCTTTGCAAAAGATTCCATCTAAGCAGGAGGATGGTCTTGTTTGCTGCTCTTCCCTCCTCAAATGTCAAATACTGAAAGCCCCTTTCCTTTTCAGAGTGACTGAATAAGCATGAAGCTAATTGGTCTCAAAATGACTCCATGTTAAGTTTCATGCTGTAATTGTTCAA